AGAGAGAGAGAGAGAGAGACACTGCACTGGAGGAAAAGACAAATATCGGAAATAGTGAAGGGAGCTGCCTCAGTTTGTTTTTATTGTGTAACACACCAGTCTTAGTGTTTTCTCTTGCTATCACAGAATACATGAGACTAGGTAATTTATAAGGAAAAAGGGATTTATTTGGGCTCATACTTCTGGATTCCAAGAGGTCGAATATCAGGTGACCAAATCTGTGATGAATTTGTGATGCTTTATAACATGAAAGAAGTATGAGGGGCCAGAAGGTACATGCAGAGGAGATAAAATACATGCTTTATAACATTCTACCCTTGTGGTAAGTAATTCAGTTCCATGGGAGCTCAAACTCTCTCACTATCTTGAAAATCAACCCAGTCCTGTGAGAAAGGCATTAATCCCTCTTTAATGATCTAATCACCTGTTAACCTCTCCTTAAATCTTGGTACACTGGGGACCAAATTTCCGCCTGAGTTTCAGAGTGGACACCTTGATACTTGGTGGTTTAAAACTTGAATCAGTTAGCTTCACTGCTGGGCTTCCCTGATCTAGGCTGGGCTTGCTCTTATATCTGCAGGTCAGCTGGGGGCTCTGCCCTCGTCACTCTGGCCAGAGCAGTCCTGTTCCATGTGACTCTTCTCCTCCTCTTGGGACCAGTGGACACATTAGACATGGACTTCTCAGACAACAAAAGAAACATAGTGAATGACCCACTATCATGGATACTTTTCAGGTTCTGCCTGTCATGGCTCCTAACACCCTGGTGGTCAAAGAATCACTTATTTGATCACAATGGGAGGGCAAAGTTACGTGGCCAAGGACGTGGATTCAAGAACAGGTGAGGGACTGAGGTCACTGATGCCATCTTCCATACTCCTCCATGAGTTGTCTTCAACTCTCCCTTCCCTTTCAATCCCAAGTCCCTCCTCCCTCTTTGATGCTCCTACAGCACTTCATGCTTCTCTCTGGCTTTGATCATAATCCACTTTGTTGTTGTGTATGCAAGGGCCAAGGCTGTCTATGGTCCTAGTGCCCTCCATGGGGGGCTTTGTACCCAGCAAATATTAGTGAAGGAGAGAGAGTGGGGAGGGAGAGGAAGAAGAGCAAAGAGGGGAGAAAGTAGAAACACAGGGCCAAAGGAGAAAACAGGATAGACAAGTAAGGAAAAGCAGGTGGAAAAAACAGGAGAGGAGATGTGGCTAGGGTGAGCTAAAGGAAGCGCCAGTGGTTCAGCGTGAGCTAACAGCTTGCCTGAAGAGCTTGGATTATCGATCCATTTCTAGGAGTGTTCAAGCAGACATTACTTACTGCGTTGAGAATCTTTATGTTTTTATTTTGCAACTCTAATGGGTTCATTTTCCCTGTGGAAGCCCTTTCCTGAAAGAAGACTAAGGTTATAGAAATTTTCTTTGTTTCCTTTCAAAGGAGTAATCACTTTACCACTTATGATCTGAGTCTCTCTCACTACTAAAATCGCTCCAATCACTGTACTTTTGACATGAAGCCCGTCTTACTTTATAAAGATTAGCAATTATTATTATTTTTGGGGATGCAGTGGTTCACACTGCTATACATTGTTTTGAATAAAATGAAGGACTGAACATTATCAATGCCAGGAGAGAGGGCTGGATTAATTCTGAAATGGTCAGAAGTCATTTGAGGACAAGCTCAGGGAATGTGTCGAGTGAGAAGAGGCAGAGGCGATTTCTTGGTGTGGCTCAAAGGTTTTTCTAAAGTGGGACAGTGGGAGGGGGGTACTGCAAAATCCCTTGAATGGAACTAGCCTCTCTGGAATGAGTATAAGCTTTTCCAAGGAGTGTGTTTGGAAGGGACTCAGTCATTTGCATACATTTGTTTTTTTTTATATATATTTTATTTTTTAGTTCTCGGCAGACACAACATCTTTGTTGGTATGTGGTGCTGAGGATCGAACCCAGGCCGCACGCATGCCAGGCGAGCGTGCTACCGCTTGAGCCACATCCCCAGCCCCCTACATTTGTTTTTCTTAAAAAGCTAGACAGGTGCCCTGGCACTAGTTTATAATCCCAGCAGCTCAGGAGCCTGAAGAAGGATTCCAAGTCCAAAGCCAGCCTTAGCAATTTTGCCAGTTCTTAAGCAAAACCCTGTCTTTAAATAAAATATAAAAATGAATGGGCTGGGGATATGGCTCAGTGGATAAGTGCCCCTAGGTTCAATCCCCAGCACACACACACACACACACACACACACACACACACAAATTAGCCTCTATATTTCATGCGAAAAAGATCTAGGGGAAAATTCTTTAGTGGCCTAGACTCTTTAGTGGTCTTTCTAGGGACAGAAGGACCTATCTAGGCCATTTGTCTCCAGGCCATTTTATCTTTTGGGGCTCCATTTGTATACAATGAATCGAAGAGCATTCTGCTGTCATGTATTACTGATTACAACAAATAATAGTGATTAAAAAAATAAAACTGTACTGCAAAAGGAATTTTATCATTAATAGGATTAAATTTCTATTTTATATATTGAAATTTTTGCATTGTTGACTAAAATTACTGGAATGTTTTATTTTTTTTTAAAAAAAAGTATGTGAGCTCTTTGTGGGTAAACATAAATGAAGTGCTGACATATATGATGAGTAACTCTTCCATCTGCACCTTCCTTTCTTCTCAGCTTTGCTTTTATTTCGTTTTATTTTATTACTGTGCTTGTCCATATCATGTCCACAGCATTTCCAGGTGTATCTGAGCAGGCAACATTATAGCAATGGAGAGAAAAAGATAAGGAAAACAGACTGCTTCTAAATGTTTGTTGACGTAAAAATACAGCAGTTCAACTCAGATGTGCAGAGTGCCCCTCCGGTGTGCCAGACTGTGTGCATATGGGGGGGTCAAACATGGGTACGGGAAATTTTATTCATGTCTCAGATGGTTGTGAAGTCAATTTATTTTAGAACACACAATGATATGATTGAAAATAAAGTTCCAGTCCCCCTAACCCACAGAGCAAGTCCCAGGGATTGAGTATTTTCCTAGATCACGCTAAGTCTTTAGAAGATGTCCAAATGCCTGGGAGTGACTCTTAGAAGAGGTCATTATGTATCAGAAAGTGTCCAGATTTTGTCCCCTGAGAATTGGGTAAACTTGGGAAAGTCACTTCCTGTCTTTGAGCGCCAGTTTCCTTCTGTAACACTTTGTGATGATATCTGTTTCCCTGTTGCCATGGTAATAAAGTGAGATTAGGCAAGGATCTGCTTCAGGTAGGTGTTCAGAAAATGATGACCATTGTTACGATTTTTGAGGGTTAGCAGAGAACAGAGGATTACGTTTATGAGTTGTCGCTGTGGCTGATGAAATCTATTCTTGGTGTGGTCCGACCTTCAGGAGACACCAGCAGAGATCCTTTGCCCAGTGAAAAGGGCTCGGAGTGCGCCTTGCACATCGCGATTCCGGAGACTGTAGATGACCGGGTTCAGCATGGGGGTGACTATGGTGTACATGACAGTGGCCACACGGCCGCGCTCTGCCTTATATCGGGATGTGGGCCGGAAGTAGACTGCGATGACTGTCCCATAGAAGAGGCCCACCACAGCGAGGTGGGAGCCACAAGTGGACACAGCCCGGATCCTCCCAGAGGCGGAGGGTAGCCTGAGCACAGCAGCTGCAATGGCCCCATAGGAGGCAAGAATGAGCAGGAAGGGAGTGACCACCACCGCGGCACCTTCGGTGAAGATGAGCAGTTGGATGTGGCGGGTATCTGAGCAGGAGAGCCTTAAGAGAGGCTGGTGGTCACAGAAGAAGTGGGGCACTTGGTGGGAGGCACAGAAGGACAGGCGGGCCATGAGCAGGATGTGCAGGAGGGAGTGGATATGGGACACCAGCCAAGCTGTCCCCACCAGGGCCATGCACACAGCCCGCGACATCCTTGTGGCATAGTGGAGGGGGTGCCGAATGGCCACATAGCGGTCATAGGCCATAGCGGCTAGGAGGCAGCTGTCAGTTACTCCCAGGGCAAAGAAGAAGTACATCTGGGTCAGGCACCCTGCCAAGGAGATGGAGTGGTCATAGGACAACAAGTTGGCCAACATCTTGGGCACAGTGACAGAGGTAAAGCAGAGGTCAGCAAAGGACAGATGGGCCAGCAGGAAGTACATGGGTGCATGAAGGGCTGGGCTGGCCCGGATGGCAGCCACAATGAGCCCATTACCCAGGATGCCCGCCACATACAAGAACAAGAACAGCACAAAGAAAGGCCACCTCTGTCCTGGGCTTGTTGTCAGTCCCTGTAGGATGAATGGTGCTCCCTCTGAGGACTCATTGACAGCGCCCATGGCTGGCCTTGATGTTCCCCTGGAACCTAGGGGTTCCTTTTTACGGTTGGGCCATGTCCACAATGTCTGAGGGAAAAAGTGAGGGTCTTTATTGTTCAAGGTGTGCTGGATGTGAGAAAGTCATGGATTTGGAGTCAGGGAGCTCTGGTTCTACACACAGATGTGACTGTGGGCAAGTCATTACACTTCTGGACACTTCTTTCTTACTGGGCCTCAGAGTCTCAATCTGTAAAATAAAGTAATGAAAATAAGGCAGTTGAACTAGGTAATCTACAAGGGCACTTCTGGCTTTGGTATTTTGTGATTTGAAAAAAAAAAAAAGAACAAATGATATTGTTCAAGGACATAGAATAGGGAAGAAGCAAAATACAAAAGATAAAACAGAGGATTAATTTAGAAATATCTGACCAATAGGCATTTATTTCAAGAAAGAAAAAGTGAAAAGCAAGATGAACAAACAAAACCCCAGTAAAAAACCAGAATCAAGATGCTGGAGAAGAACATATCAAAGAAATACTAGAAAAATTGTGTGTGTGTGTGTGTGTGTGTGTGTGTGTGTGTGTGTGTGTGTGTGTTTGGTATCAGGGACTGAAGACAGGGATGCTTAAACACAGAGTCATGTCCCCAGCCCTTTTTATTTTATTTAGAGATAGGTTCTTGCTAAGTTACTCAGGGCCTTGCCTAAGTCGCTGAGGCTGGCTTTGAACTCATGATCCTCCTGCATCAACCTTGCCAACCTCTGGGATTACAGGTGTGTGTGCCACCACGCCCAGCTTAGGAAAACTCCAAATCTTATGGGTTCATGTGTTATATTAAAGTGAATATGAGCTCACACCTCTTAGACATAAATAATGGAATTTTAGAACATTGGTGATAAAGAGAATAACAAATACTTCCCAAGGGCATAGAGTAAAGTGCACCCATGGTATTCTGATAACCAGATTGCCACCAGTTTTTTCATCAATTTTAGATGGTAGTACACAGTTAGATAATATCTTAAAATTATGGAGAGGGGCTGTGATTGTAGCTCAGTGATAGAGCACTTGTCTAGTATATTTGAGATACTGAGTTTGATTCTCAGTACCACATAAAAATAAATAAAATAAAGGTAGAGATGGGGATATAGCTCAGTTGGTAGAGTGCTTGCATGCACAAGGCCCTGGGTTCAATGTCCAGCACCACAAAAAATAAAATAAAATAAAATAAAGGTATTATGTCCATCTACAACTAAAAAATATTTGAAAAATTGTGGAGAAACAAGATTTTGAATTTAGAATTTTATGTTAAACCAAAATACTAATCAAGTATAAGAAAAGAAAGAAGATATTTTCAGACCTGTTAAAAAAAAAGAACAAAAAAATCTGGGTTTGGGGGTATATCTCAGTTGTAGAGCACTTGCCTAGCATGTGTGAATCCCAGGGTTTCATCCTCAGCACTGGAAAAGAAAAAAAATCAGATGCAGTAACAAATGTCCAATCATACTATCAAGGAAAAAAAATGAAAGTTTTTAAAGTTGTTTATTGTATAACTATGAAGCTGTTAACGATTCAAGCATTATCCTGATAAACCAGCCATGATACTGGAATGAGACATAGGAGTTAAAAGAATGGTCTCTAGAGTTATGCAGACACAGGTAGGGAGTTCACTCCCTTTAATACTTTCATGACTTTGTTATTCTCACTGGAAAAAAAATGAGCAAATAAATCTGGAAGATTCCCCATATCCCTGGAAATTTTTTTTTCATAAAATTAAAATACTTACCGAACATATTGCAAGTGCCAAGGTACACGCTTTAGGGAGAAACTTGTTGGAACAGACATGTCTGTGGAGGTGCAGACTTAACTCTTCTTTTTTTTTTTTTTTTTAAGTGCTGAGGATCAAACCCAGGGCATCATACATGCTAGGTGATTTGCTCTATCCCAGAGCTACATCCCCATCCACAGAGGCTTGATTCTTAAGGACAGAGGCAACTTGAACCAATGCTTCTATTTTTTTCCATGTCTGAATCTCATTGCAGACACTTTGGGAAGTCCTTTAAGAGGGGCTTTAAAATGAGAGGATTTGGGACACAGGTTTGCTGAAGACTAGGCTGAGACTACCTCTGCAGGAGAATGATCTCTTAACTTATTTTAACTCTTTCTCTATAAAAAATAAGACAATTAGATAGAGACCTCCTTATCCTATGGTCCTCCTTTTCTTCCTCTACCAGTTAAGAAGAATATTCTGGCATTGTCTCCCTGTTAAGCTTTTTCTTCTTCTTTTTACAAATTCCCAACCATTTCCAAATTTCCAAGAGGTGAAAAACATAAGGGTGACTGGGTAGGATGGAGGAGAAACCTGCTTTTGGAAACTGAAATTCCGATCTGTTTAAATTGGTCCCAATAAACATTCAGATATACTGAGCCGACTGTAGAAATATTTATATGTAGTTGCAAACACACCCGAGCAAGTGTGCAAACGTGCAAATACACAGGCATGATCAATCGTACCAGAAATGTGGAACCAACATATGCATTCACTTTCAAATAGGCAGGCAAGTAGAACCACAAGATTTAAAGACCCAGCTCAGCATACGTGTAAACTCACAGTCAAATGCAATTGCATAAGCTCTTAGAGGGCGACAATCGTTTATATACACCTGTTCGTGGCAGCATGTATCACCATACACAGATGATATGTGCTGTGAACCATCATGTACATTTTCATTGGCACCTTACTCTTTGTGAACACTCTCCCAGGTGCCTGTTCATGCACACCCATTCACACCCAATCTCCTTGTTGATCACACATTCAGGCATAGCTTCAGAGTCCGCAGTCTTGCACCTTCACGCATATGGCTACACTCACCTGGGCCCGTCATGGGTCACAGAGAGATGTGCTACCCTAGAGGGGCACTTCCACATTATGCACTGCTTTCACTCCCAGTGACACCATTGTGCAGTGACGGCAGTGCCCAATCACAGCCTCACAAACAACACGTGCTCTCACACTCATGCGTAGGACTCACACACACTGTCACACACAGGAGGACAGCTGCATATTCTGAAGCCTGACCCTTGTCCCCAAGTGTATCCTCTGCCCTCCCACATCACAGGAGGAAGCAGCAGCAGGGTCTGGATGTAGCTTGTCACTGGAGAGTCTGAGGAGGGAATGATTGGCTGCACTTATGGGTCTGGGGACCTTGGGGGCAGCTTAACTTCTCCTCAGAGGCAACCCCCTTAGCCCCAGCCTTCATCTCTAGAGTAGGAAGAAGCTCAGCTCTGGGACTTGTTATCCTTTCTCTCTGGGCCCAATTTGGTGGGAGATGAGGTGATGGGTGCTGCTTCCAACTCAGGGGACATTCAGAAGCCCTGTGTATGTGTATGGCAAAGCTGCTGCTCCTTGTGAGAAAGAAGGATGAGGCAGATCTCTGGACCCCCAGAAGAATGATGGGGAGTCCAGGGTTTATAGCAGTAGCTTCTGGGGCCAACCCTCCTGTGACCTTAGCTGGGCTGGCAGCTTCTTATAGGAAGTATGGGAGTCTGAGAGGGTTTGTCCCTCTGGTGACTATGGCAATATACATGGCTGTGTGTAGAGTGTGTGCTTGGGTGTGGGGAGAGCATGGCCCTGTGTAACTATATGTGTCCAGGAGCTTGAGTGTGTCTAATTGTGCAGCTGCATCTGCATCTGTGGGGGTGGCCACACCTCTGAGACTGTCCCTTTGCTCAGGAATGTTTCCCATAGGAGCCTGGATCTAGGGTGAGGGTGTGTTTTTCTCATTGTGTTTGTGCTAAGAGGGAATTGTGTCTGCATGTAGCATTCCAGATGGGAATGGCTTTCCATGACACGATAAAAGAAAGATTCTAAATATGAAATTCAATGATTCCCTATTGTCTGTGGAGTAAAGTCCAAATTCCCCTACCTCATATCCAAGCTGCAGGTGCCCTTCTCATCCCAGATCCATAGTCTTCAAACTTCCCTCTGTGTCTTTCCCAATACACTCCTCTCAAGCCAGTTAAATTGGTCTTCTTAGAGTCTTCTCCCCACCTGACCTTACTTTACTCCTGTGCCTTTCTTTTACATTTGTCCCTGCCCCCAACATAATGCCCCTTCCTCTCGATTCCCACTCACGTTGCTGAGCCCAACTCCTCTGGTATAGTAAGTGCTCCAAATAAGACCCTCAGCTTTCCCCACTTCAAACTCACTGTTCTTCTGCCTGTCCTAGTAAATAGTGTTGAAGGAGGTTAAAAGGGATATTGTTATCAGAGTTGGATGAGCCCTGCTGGGTATCTCACTTTAGAAATGGCAATCTGACAGTTTCTCTTCCTTTGTTCTCCAGGGTGGGCCCTGTTACTGACTTCAAATCCGCCCCTTCTCCTTTCTTGTTTTCTTATCTATCAAATAGGCCCAGTGTAATAGCCTGCAACTTGTTTCCTCTGGTTGGTTTCTAGGATTCATGTAGTTATTGTCTCTGAAAGCACCTAAACACATCCTATAGGCCAAGATGTAGGGCACCGGCCCCTTTGGAAACTCTCCTCATCGTGGTGGGTGCTCCATGCCCTGAAAACCCAGGAAAGAAGCACAGACCATAAAGGAGATCTTTGAGTGGATGAAAATCCATACATTAGTAACTGGGGGCAAATCTTAAGGTCCCAGTCCTGCCATTGTCAACTCTTCTGATAATACTTCCAGTCTTTGTTGTGGCTTATGGATTGTTATGGTGACAGGAGGCAGGAGGACTTGGGGAATTGGGAAAAGATGATAGAAGCTTGTAATTGGGAGAAGGGGTTTAAATTTATTTATCAAACTTTTGTCCAAATGTGCTGAGTTTGGGATGTTGTGTATCTGCTCTCAAGATACCATTTCTTCAGGAAATAGGGTGACCAACTGTGTTGGCTTGCCCAGGACTGAGGGCATTTTGGGATATGGGACTTCGAGTATAAGACTGGAATAGTTCTGAGCAAACAGGGATGAGTCGTCATTCTCTCAGGAAAACTATGAAGTTCTGTAAGATTCGAGGAGACATCTACATTCTTCTCTCCATTAGTTTGGGATCTCCAAGAAGGCCACAGTTACTAAGTGAGAGGACCCTGGTTCCAATAACAAGGAACATTACCTTCCCAGGAAGCCAGGTTGAAGCCTGTAGTCTTTCTGCAACCCAAGTGCCAGGTGGCTGATTTCTCCTTAAAGAGGAAAGTGGAGGGATGAGGCTAGCCCAGACGGGGGCCCAAGGAAGAGACTCCATTGGGAGCCTTTTGGGGTCATATTGAAGTACTGCTTGAGTCCCACACATTGCCACCCTGAACCCCCTCATCCATAATCAGGGAACTGGAAGGGTGATAAGGCAGGAGTTGACATTTTTTGTTGGCTGTGTTCCGCCTCTCTTTGGAAGCTCCTGCCCCATAACTCCTGTTTGCTCCTGCATGGAAGTGCTTCCCGGGCAGCTGCAGTGCCTTGGATTTGCCCATGTGAAACTGAGTCAAAAAAGACAAAGGAAGTCTACAAAAATTGTGAACTATGGGTGTGTGAAGGCCCGAAGAACACTGGTTCTGAACACTGGTTTTAAACCACGACTTGGTGCACTGCAGTGACTGTTGCCCAAGAGGTCGGGGGATGGTGTTCCCTTTCCTCATCACAACCCTAGCTCTGGATGTCTTAATCTTAGCACAGAGCATTAACCTAACCATATGCTAATCTGAGTGTGTTTGTAATTCCAGATGAAATTTAACTAAATCCACCAATTACCAATATCTTAGGCTTTAAGAAACATTAATCATTTTTCATAACCTTAAGTCTTAAGTCATCAAAACATGCCAGTTTAATACATAAAATATTCTTGTGCCTTTCTTCCAGTTCTTACCCCAGCCTAACTGAAATAATTAGACCATGACTCAAATTTATCACAATCATTAATCACACTCCACTTAACTGACATCTAACACAAACTGAACTGTAACTCACAGCCCCAACTTAATTAGTCTTATGTTCTAACCCCAAGATATTTGCAACTTTTCTAACTAGTCTTAAGTTTATCCAAACTCTGCCTCCTAAATTTATCCCATTTTTGCTACTCATATAAATTAATCTGAACCATAAAATTTACATAATTTTAATCCATCCATAAATTACCTGATTAATGCCTAATTCTATCTAACCCTAAGCCTCAGTTTTTCAACTGTTAGCCATACATAAAGGCTATCCTAACCATAATTCCAACCCTAATCTAACCATACTCATAATACAGATCCTAACCTCCACCATGAGCATGAACTAGTGTGACCTTGGCCAAATCCAAACCCAAGTGCAGGGATTTTTAGGAACGAGCTTCTGTTTGTCATGCAACCGCTCAGCCATTTTCCTGAGATGTGAAATACACAAGGGTAGAATGTTTGCCTTATCAATTCACTCTGGCTTCTGAAGCCGCTTTCCTGTGGTCAAGGAGTTCAGAGCATACTCACTGGCCATGAGAATCTAGGAATAACTGGAGACCACACAGCTCTCCCTTAGCCTTTGTGGGGATCAGCTTCTCCTCCTCCTCCTCCTCCTCCTCCTTCTTTTTCTTCTTTTAAAAAAATGTAACTTTCTAAAAAATATTTTTTTAGACATTGATGGGCCTTTATTTTGTTCATTTATATGCAGTGCTGAGAACCAAACCCAGCGACTCACACATACTAGGCAAGTGCTCTACCCCTGAGCTACAGCCCCAGCTCCAATCAGCTTCTTTAGGTGGCAAATAATGCTATTTGATATTACCCGGGAACATCTGGGAACTTTTATATTTTGAACATTGAGGACCTTCAGGGAGCTCCATAGAAACATTAACCTGGTCTTGATTCCGGCTCTAGGGCTAGCCATAGAATACTGGTGGTTTCCTGACTCCCTCCTGGATGCTTCCATTTCCCCCTTGATAATCCCTTAAACAATGACAGAAGACATCCAAATCAGAACAGCGATTTCTTTACCCGCGGTGATGGGACAGAGTGTCCTGGTCTTTCCAGAGTCAGACTTAACCAGCCTCCTGGGACCAGTCCCTGGTACCTCTCCCTGGACAGCAGAATCGACTCCGGGTCCGCCTCAGGGCCTCCTTGACCTCCTTGTTGCGGAGGCTGTAGATGAGGGGGTTGAGGGCTGGAATGACAAGGGTGTAGAACACAGATGCCATCTTGTCTGTGTCCAGGGCATAGCTGGAGCTGGGACGCAGGTACATGAAGATGAGGGTCCCATACAGCATGGCCACAGCTGTGAGGTGGGAGCCACAGGTAGAGGCTGCCCTCCGGCGGCCCTCGGCCGACCGCATGCGGACCACAGCCCCCGCGATGAAGCCGTAAGACACAGCGATGGCCAACACCGTGGCTGTCTGGATGAAGCCACAGACGGCGAAGAGGAGGACTTCGTTGAGACTGGTGTCATCGCATGAGATGGCCAGTAGTGGGGGGATGTCACAGAAGAAGCTGTTGACCTCCCGGGAGCGGCAGAAGCTCAGGCGGAAGGTGAAAGTTGTGTGGATGAAGGCACTCACTGCCCCTCCCAGGCCTGATGCCCCCAGCAAGGCCAAGCACAGACGTGGTGACATAACCGTGGTATAGAGAAGCGGGTTCCCGATGGCCACATAGCGGTCATAGGCCATGGCGGCCAACAGGCAGCACTCTGCATCAGCCAGCCCCGCGAAGATAAACATCTGGAGGGCACAGGCTGCATACGGGATGGTGGCACGGGGCAGCAGCAAGTCCACTAACATCTTGGGGCCAATGGCTGAGGAATAGCAGGCATCCAGAAGGGAGAGGTTGGCCAGGAAGAAGTACATAGGGGTGTGGAGCCGGGCATTCCCATGGATCAGCAGCACCAGGCCCATGTTTCCCAGCAGGCTCACCAGGTAGATGGGCAAGAAGATCAAGAAGAGGGTCACACGCAGGTCCCAGCGATCTGTGATGCCCAGGAGGATGAATTCCACAGGGGCAACCCTGGCCCAGGTGACATTCTCTGAGCTCATCCTGCTGGACAGAGACTTGAGGAGAGGCAAAGCAAGAGGGAGATGAGAGGCCATCATGGAAAGAGAAAGCACCAGAAGTCAGGTAGTCTTGGGTTTCAATCCTAATTGAAACAGAGTCGCTGTTAGACCTTGGACAAGTCACATAACTTCTCAAAATCTTTATTTTGAACACTGAGAAGTTATGGCAAGTTTGCCCTTGCAAAGACAGGAGTCTGTCTGTCTTACTCACTTTTGTATCCACAATACTGAGAACATTCCCTGGCACATAGCAGATGCTCAATAAATATTTGTTAAATGAACCAGGATGACATTTAGTTTAGTGTCTGGCCAAGGATTAAAAATTTTATGACTATATCTGCATTTTCCTTTCCAGTGTCCTGGGGAGGAAAAGAGAAAATGGAATGGGCAGAAAAGTCCCCCGATCCAAAGGGCAACTAATTATGGACTTTAACATTTTCTGGGAGGACATTTTTCCATAGGAGTAAGACCTGGGAAAGGAAAGCCTTGGTATCCTTGGGGGAGAGTTTGGTGTGGAAAGAACAGAGAGGGTCAACTCCTTTACTGTGCTGATTCTTCACCTCTCTGCGCCTTGGTTTTTTCATCTGGGCAATGGGGAAAGCTGCAAGGATTTAGTGAGATAATGCATGTAAAGCATCTCACACAGGGCCGGGTACCTAACAGGCATTTATAGAAGTTCCAGTGAACTGAACTGAATTGAGTCAGATGCTTTTGGCTCAATACAGGAAGGAAGCAACTCCCAGGCAAGCAAAAATCAGCCTAGTTCCCCCAAGGGCAATGTAGCTTCACACTCCCTTGACTTTGTACTTGTTCCCTCTAAAAACCCATTTCTTCTTTTTGTGTTTGACACAGACTATCTCCAGTGTGAAGTCCTCTCTGATCTCAAAAGAAACTAAACTTCCCCTTCATCTGTGCCTGCGGCAGTGGAACATGCATCTATTGCATCTATGGTAGCATGTCACCATTCAATCCCAAATGTTTTTGACGTGTCTGCTCTCCTGGGGGCTTTGAGCTCCTTGTTTCAATAATCATTAAAAAAAACCATTTATTGAATATTGCTATGTGATAAGAATGGGCCTGTAATTCATTTTTGATTTTCCAAGCTCTGGTGTGTAATTAATGCTTGGTAAATGTTAGTTGGGTGTAAAAACAGTGAGAAGAGCATGGACTAGCAGCATTTAGGATTGGTTTTGAGTCCAGTTTCTGTCACTTCCTGCTGTAACTTCAAGCAAGTCACTTTGGTTCCCACATCTCTGTTGCCTAAGAGGCAATGCGTGTGTAGCAAAGGGCCTGGAGCTGAGTGAAGTCTCTTCCCCTCCCCACCTTTTTTCAGTACTAGGGATTGGGTGCTTCACCACCAAGCTACAACCCCAGAACTTTTTATTTTTATTTTTTTGAGACAGGGTCTGGTTTAATTGCTTAGGGCCTGACTAAGTTGCTGAGGCTGGCCTTGAACTTGTGATCCTCCTGCCTCATCCTGCAGGAGTGTCTGGGTTTACAGGTGTGTAATGTAAAGCCACTGCGCCCAGCTTTCTCTTTCTCCCTTTAACAGAAGGTTGGATGTGTGGGAGGGGAACAGGGGATCATGAACTAAAATTGAATTCCATGCATGTATGAGTTTGTTGGGATGAACCCAACTACTATGTATAATTATTAAGCTCTAATTTAAAAAGAGTGGTTAGAAGTTTGGGACTTCCCTTTCTGGTGAAGACGATGAAAATCTTTCTACAAAGCACAGCTTGGATGAAATAGTTTGAGGATACTGATACCACATGTTGGTGAGGTCCACGCTTGTGGAATGTAAATTGGGACATTTTCTATAACTGTGCATTCCCTAGTTTCTTAGCCTGCCTGAGTTTCTATAGAAAATTTCCATAGGCCCAGTGGCTTAAGCAACAAACATTTATTTTTCACAGATTGAGATGTCTGAGATCAGATCAAGGTGTCAGCATAGTTGGATTCTGGTGAGGGCTGTCTCTCTGGATTGCAGACAGATACCTTTTTGCAGTATTTTCACATAGTGTAGAGATGGGGGAAGGGGAAGGGAAGGTTGAGAGAGAGAGAGAGAGAGAGAGAGAGAGAGAGAGAGAGAGAGAGAGAAAGGGAACATTCATTGATCTCTTCTTATAAGGGCACTGATTCTATCATGAGGACCCCACCCTAAGTGTTATGCGCCAGGGTACATGGGCAAAGACCAAACAGAGTCCCTTTTACCCTGAGACTCCACATCATGTAAGAAATGCTTCTCCCATGGGAACACCCCGCCTCTGTGCCCACCAACAGTTGCTTAGCATAGCTTGTTTGGTGACACAAAATGGCAATTCTTATACAATATAAAATTATTCTCTTTTTGGTTCTCATTTTTCTTGAACAATGTACCTGTCAGAGATTGATTATCCAGACATTAGTAACCATTCTTTAACTTGTACTCAATTAGGGATGTTTTGACTCACTCCCATTTCTGCTTATGTTTTTAGATTTCATGACGTTTGGTTATGATTTTGAATCATGGCAACAGCCACCTATGATTAATATGGTTTTGGACTATAAAAGGTGTACCTCAACCCCTGGGAGTGGGTTGAAGGGTGTAAACCTGCATGCAGCCTCCTGCCAGCTGGTGGATGGTTCTGACTCCTGCTTTAAGATTGACTCGGTGATTTACTGCAATCTCGCCATAACATAAGGGCTTCATTTAACTTAATTATCTCTCAAAGGGCCACTTTCCAAATACCAGCTACATATTGGGGAGATTAGGATTTCAACATTGATTTGGGGCTCACATTTGGGGTTCCATCACACCTATTAATTCCACTTATGGGTGTTTACTTTTGAAAACATTAACGTGTATACAGGGAGACACACATAAGGGTGCATGCACTCCTTGACTCTTCACAATGGCCAACCATTAGTGATAACCAATCTTTATCAATTACCTCATGGGGATTAAATGGGAAAGGAGTCACTTAGATGCATCAATACGGAGAAAGCTCAAATCCAGAACTTGCAAAAAAAAAATACAGATTGATAAGAAAATACAAAACAACAACAACAATAATAATAGTTGATTATAAACTGTAGTCACTCACTAGCAAAATCTAAAAAGTTATCTCTTAGAAACAGAGAGCAGAAAGGTGGTTACTAGAGGCTGGAGCAAGGAAGGAAGGGGAAAGGGGAAATGCCAAAGGGTCCAAAGCTCAGACTAGAGAACTATGTTTCGTTGTTCGATCACACTGCGTGGCACTTCATTGTCCTATAATAGCCCTACCTAAGTGTTTGTCCTCCACCTAATGGAGCATCTTAAGTTCAGGTACCTTGTCTAGTTCACCCTTCCACCCTTAGGGACATAGGTGTTTAGGGATCTCTTCATTCTCCTACTTGGGGTCACTGGTGGAAGTCAGATAAATTCTAGGAGTAGGAAAATACAGTGGGGCTTTAGCTCCACTCAACTTCAGGTTGCCCATGAACAGAGTCAACTGCCTGAATGAAATTCTGCATGCAGAACCCAGTTGATGGACAACCCCTTGTGTGTTTCGTTCTATCGATCTGGAAAGCCATCATCACCATAGTGGGGTAGGGAGGGGGAGCATGGGAGGAATAGACGAACTCTAGATAGGGCAGAGGGGTGGGAGGAGAAGGGAGGGGGCATGGGGTAATTAATGATGGTGGAATGTGATGATCATTACTATCCAAAGTATATGTATGAAGACATGAATTGATGTGAACATACTAAGTATACAACCAGAGATATGAAAAAATGTGCTCTATATGTGTAATAAGAATTGTAATGCATTCTACTGTTATATATAAATTAAAAAAAAACAAAGCCATCATCACTCACCTTTACAAAGTGAGGGGTAGAACTGCTTTGAGTGCCTTTCCATTTTTCCATCTGTAAAATGGGGATGATAAGTTTTCAGGGCTTTAATTTTTTGCTTTGAAATTTTTGATGCAAAGATCCTCAAGCTTAGTTAAGTAGATTTTATGGAGTGTGTGTATGTGTGTGTGTGTGTGTGTGTGTGTGTGTGTGTAAAACATAATTCTCCATTAATCTCTCTCTCTTTCTCTCTCTTGTCTTACTACCAATGGGAAGAAAACTTGAAATTCTAGATTGGGTGTGTAGTTCCATGTAGGAGTTGCCAAGGAAACAGGAGGACTCAGGCTTCCACAAGAAATCATTTCTGGATTTGCTCTCAGGTGCTAATCAGTGCTAAAGGGGTATATTATCTTGAAAGTAAGAAAACTGACTGGACTTTAAGGCTCCTGGCTCTATTTAGTCTAAAGTTGACTTTCTTTTCATAATGTTTTTTTTTTTATTGGTGCATTATGATTATACACAACAGTGGGATTCATTGTGACATATTAATACATGCACGTAAGTTGATCACTCTCATTCCCCAGCACCTCCTCTTTCCCTACCTACTCCTCCCTCCCAGCCACATTTTTCTACTCTAATGGTTTCTCTTCTATTATTATTATTTTGAAGTAGTGCATTACAATTATATATAAAAGTTCATTTTGTAATCTTTTCAACTTTTCTGATTTGTTTAATTACACATTTATCTTTGAGTCCCTGGGTTTAAAGCTTCTGAAGTCTATGTATATCTATTTATGTATCAATGCACATATGTACCTATCTATTCTAAGATTGTAAAAATATCTCCTGTGTTTTTCTTGTAATGCTTTCATAATTCCATTTTTTTGAGGGGGGCAGTACCAGGGATTGAACTCAGGGGCACTTGACCACTAAGCCACATCCCTAGCCCTATTTTGTATTTCATTTAGAGACAGGGTCTCACTAAGTCTCACTTGCTAAGCTTGCTTTGAACTCATCATCCTCCTGCCTCAGCCTCCTGAGCCTCTGGGATTAAAGTCGTGCACCACCTTGCCTGACTCAGTTTCATTTTTATGGTTAAATGTTTAGTGCATCTGGAATTTACTTTGGTGCATGTTGTAAAGGTAGCAAACTAAGCAGAAAGGGTGGGCAGAAGGTAACTTGGAGAGTTCAACATCACGGTAAAGTTGTGAAGTATTCCTCTCTTCAGCTGTAAGTTCTGTGAGAATGGAGGTAG